ACAATTTCTCACCATATGTAGCCTGCAAAAACGGCCATCTCTCCCTCTCCTAGCCACCAAGAGGGACGTCTGCTCCTCAGTGACAGAAATTCCATACCGATGAGGTAAATCAATCTTTGCAGTAACGTGGTTCCAAGTGAAATGTTGTTCGATTTTATGCTTCTCACGGTCAATTATCGTAAAGTTTTGTGTTCTTCTGTGAGCGAGCTCTAGCAAAACTCAAATGCTTCTTCTAAATAAGAACATACTCCTCGAATATTGACTGTTAGTAGCAGATTTCTCGCGTTTACATTTGACCTTTTTGTGACCTTTTGTATTTTTTCTGTCATTCGTAAACAATAGCTAAAACATTTTAATTACTACGTCGACCAATCAGAGATCCTGATTCCGGACAGAATTTACGTCATAAGTATGGAATTTCTGTGGCTGAGGTGCAGACGTCGCTTGTGGCGAAACATCTCAAGCGGCGAGGAGCGGTGTGAGACGGCTGTTTTCGCAGGTATCATAATACAATGTAGAGTTAAATAACTAGCACGCCCCCTGGTAGTAATTTGTCTTTGTATAAAGTGGCCAGTCGCCCACGCACACGGGCTGTAATTTATATACATAAAAATGTTCACGTATTCAGCGACTCAATATCCAGCAAAGCTGGGTAGTTTGAGCGTGTGTGTAGATAATATACGATCTGAACTTGCACAGTATGTTAAATAAGTGTAAATAAGTTAAAGGTTTTTTAATGTAAAGTTTACAATTTTGCACGTACGGGCCTTACTTTTAGAAAATATTGTTGAAATAGTTTTGTAATACGTTTCTTTGAGAGTTCGTCTCAGTTAGAGGTAAAATTGGTAAACCTTTTTATGCATTTCCTTTTTTGTTTGAATGTTAGTAGTATTTTGTTTCTGCCCTAAGGCGGTAGTGAATTTTTTTAAATTTATTTTTACGGAATTGTTATAACGATGCACGTCAAAAAATTTCTTTCACATTTATTATCATGACGTGTAAAGCTAATCTAATATAGCTGCATTTGCGCCACCGAGTTTGCCTTTGTACTGCAAATTGAAAAATATGACAAGCTTTTCCTTGGCGGCCAGAAGAGGAAAGAAATGAAAGCTTGTTAATGGAAGCTTGGTAGTGTAAATGGAGATAAAAACTCCACCAACACGGTTTCTCGTTTTGTAAACGTTGTTACAGGGAAAATTTTATTTTGAGTTAAACCAGTTACAGAAGGTAAGCGGGCTTTAATCTCGATCCCAGGGTAAACCGTGTGAACGAGGCTTGGCATAGGCTCCCGCGGTCATGCGAGATCTAATTTGAGGTTTTCGTATGCACCGCATCAGTGATATGCAGCTCTACGAGTTAAAAGACCAGGAGATGTAGACCGGTGGACGTAATTTGTCAATAAGTATTTATTTAGTGCTGTAGGGAAAGGAAAACATGATCATTTACATCCTTTATACTATTTTATATTTATGCATATTGTCTCACTGTACCGTAAAAGGTCGCGCGAATTGCACGGAGAAAAGGAAAAAGTGTGCTGAAAAGTTTGACCACGGTCGGGACTATATTTCAAAACTTTAATAGGTTTTTTTTCCAATTTTTTTTATTAATTTTCTTTCATTTCACGTTATATTACATTACAATATCTACTCATTAATTACTAATAGTACGTACCGGGACAAATACCAGACTAATTACCAATTTAATAAGTTGTTATTAGAGAGGTTAAGTATCACGTTTACGTCAAACGGCATACGCGAATTTGTACCACCTTGTCGCCTCCTGTTCATTATTTCTGCACATAAATTAGTAGTTTCACTCAACTTTTTATCCATATGAATTTTCTGAGCTGTTTTTATCTGCTCATTTTCTATTTTGAGAAATTCTCAACTTGAATCTGACGTTTGCCATTTGCCGTATGTTGCAGGAGACTGATCATGGGTCAGTACTGAGTCGAATTGCGCTATGGGACTGTTTGGGGCTGCTATCTCTTCTTTTATTAACTCTCACAAAGTTACCGGGCAGGAAACTGGAACCAAACAGCCCCATAGTGCAATTCGGCACAACACCGACTCAGTCTCATGCGCAATCGTCAAATGGTCATCAACCCTTTAAGCCCCAGTATCCACATACAAATTCTCCAGACGGATCTCTATACATTTCCGTAAAGAATTAGCTGGGAGAATTTGGTAAAAGATCAAACTACATCTCTTCGGTGACCTTTTCCTTTATGAAAGATGAATGTTGTTAGGAGAAAATTGATGTCGGTCACTCTTGGGGCTTTAAGGGTTAAGTTACTCGTTCATCCATGTCAGCAGTCGTATCCCCTAAACAATAGGGAGCTTTAGCAACTACAACGACCACGACGACGTCGACAGCTTCAAAAAACAATAGGTTTCATGATCCAAACAACAGCTCCGCACGTGCATCACGCTTTTTAGTACATTTCTCTGACGTCCACCACACGACTACGACGTGAAACCTCCTAATTTGCCGTTTTATGGAGGACGTAGACATACGACGACGAATTTTCCTTCCTCTTTTTGAACGAATAAAATCCTTAAGAATTCAACTCCTGGAATAGTCGCCTGCATTTGACATATTGAGCGGGTCCAAATAGACGCGATTAAGATTGAAAGAACGCAAATTCATTTTTTAGCGACGTTTTCACTGCCGCCGCCGCCGTCGTCGTCGTTGCTTAAGGTCCAGGGAACTTAAGGAACGATGACGTCAGCGAGAACGGCAAAAAAGTAAAAGTTGTAGATTGGTAAAACAACAACTTTGCACGTGCATCATGCTTTTTTGTACATTTCTTTGCCGTCATTGCACGACTGCGACGTGAAAGTATCTAAATTTACGTTTTGTGGAGGACGTGACACAAGACAACGACTTTCTTAGTTTAGAATTCAACTCCAGAAAAAATCTTGTCAGCATTTGACGAATTGAACGAAATCCTCGGAATAAGCGTGATGAAGTTTGAGGTAGCGCGAATTTCCTTTTTAATTGACGTTTTCATATATAGCCGTCGCCGTTGCATAAGCTCCTTAATGTTCGTATTCAAACGAGCCGTGTCGCATTGTTTCGAGGTACTATTTCATGTTTTCCGCATAGAAAATTACCTTGACATTACAGGTAGCCTCGAAATATTCCTTTGCCTTCTTGAGCGAGGACTGGAGAAAATGAGGCTCTGCCTTACAGTCTTTCTCGAGTAAGGCAAAATCGACTCTGCCAGCCGGCCGGGAGAGAAAACACGACCTAACTCGTCCCCAGTCGTCTTCGCGTAACGCGCGCGGCGGGAGCAGAGGGTGATGGGAAGGGAAAAGGGAGAAAGAGGCGCAATAGTAAATCATACAGGGTTTAGGATGGTAACA